AAATAATCAGCATGAAATAAACTTCTTGGAAACACATACGCTTTGATCAATTTTTGAAATAAAAAATGATCGGTTAAAAAGCTCAGGCTGATCAAAGTGCGACCGAAAAAGTTGTCGAAAAAATCAAATAAGCATGTTAGGTTAAACTACAGGAACCTTAGATTAATAATACTGACGTTTGCAAACCCGGTCTTTAAGTTTTTCGCCCCCTAATTTCACATATATTTAAAAATTGATCCAACTGATCTGTTTATGAATCTGAAAGTTTATTTCGTTCGACATTTTAGGCATAATGCATGATAAAATGCATGTTATACTATACACACGATGCAAAGTGAAGTAAAGTCGGATGAATAAAAAGTTTTAAAATGTCCGTACAAAATCGGAGTATGAAACATACATATTAATATGACTATTTGAATTGAAATTATACATTTTTTAGCAAGCTTAAATGTTTTAACCTCTATGGTGGCTAACCTTTTTCATAAAAAAATTGGATTGAAGGTTGGCATTTCAAAGATTTTTGACACACTTAATCAAACTTCTAACTAATGATCCTTCACAAATTTGGCTTCAATATTACTTTTTGAAAATGGATTAAATGCATTATCAATTTTGCACACATTTTTGTCTCCATCAATGGTCTACAAAGAGGTTACGTCTAATGTGAGAAGAGGAAAAACAAGGTGATTGACTTTCACCCCCCCTCTTCCAAAAATATTTGAAATGAATATTGACATTTCAAATATTTTTTACACACTTAATTCGGACTTCTAACTAATGATCCTTCATAAATTTGGCTTCAATATCACTTTTTGGAAATGGATTAAATGCATTATCAACTTTACACGCATTTTAGTCACCATCAATGGCCTACAAAGAGGTTACTCCTAATGTAAGAAGGGGAAAGACAATGTGATTGACTTTAACCCTTCTCTTCTAAAAATATTTGTAATGAAAATTAACATTTCAAAAAAATTTTACACACTTAATTCGGACTTCTGACTAATGATCCTTCACAAATTTGGCTTTAATGTCACTTTTTGCAAATGGATTAAATGCATTATCAACTTTGTACACATTTTAGTCTCCATCATTTGTCTACAAAGAGGTTAATCCTAATGTAAGAAGGGAAAAAACAAGGTGACTGACTTTCACCCTTTCTCTTCTATCTGGTTGAAGAGATTCTCAATAAAAGCGTAACTAAGTTAGCCTCAAAACATAAGATTAGCCTAATTAGTGCTTCTAGAAATCAAAAGGTATCTTCACACACTTTATATATCGATGATATCCAGATATTCTCTAAAAGGGACATGACTTTCATAGATGATGATATCATGATATTCTCTAAAAGGGACATGACTTGCATAAATGTTATTAACATTCTCTTCAAGAGATATACTGGTTAATCTGGCCAACATCCTTCTAAATTCATCATTTATGACGGCTTCATGACTCCTCACAAACACACTTTAACAGCTAGTAGAATTAAATTTTGCATAGGTCAGCTCTTGCTCTTTAACTTTGGTGTCCCCGTTTTCACAGGAAGAACAAAATATATTTCAGACATAATAAGGATACAACTAGCTCCTTGAAAAGCTTCTCTCTTGTCTATAGCTGGAAGAATTTTGTTATTAAAAAAAGAGATATGTTTATGCATACTCTAATGGTACACTTCATACATATATATCTCTTAAAGAAAATTGAGAAATACATAATTTTTTTTTTAGAGTGAAGACACCTCAAAAAGGAAACTTGTGAGAACTGCTTAGAGGAAATGTTGTAAATACTTGTCATGTGGTAGTTTAAGGATAAGGTCTCTAACCTCCATAAATGAGACCTCCAGCTTGGTTCAATGCTAGAACAAGACCAACTCTCAGGATCATTGGACCATTATCCTTTAAGTTAGAGTTTATAGGCAAAGAGTAAAAAAAACATCATATTACATCCTCTATTTAAAGCGATTTGAATTGTTGTATATTTGACTTAAAATTTCGATTACATATCACTAGGAGTGTTCAAAATCGAAACAACCAAATAGAAAACGCAAACCAAACCAATCCAAATTGAAACCGTAAAAAATCGCATTTAGTTTGGATGTGTTTGTGTCATTTTCTAACAAAATCGTGCGGTTTGGTTTGGTTTATGGTTTGTATTTTGCAAACCGAAATAAACCAAATCAGACCGCATTATGTTACAACCCGAACTTCACTTATCCCGCATCCAACCCAAAACTCAAATCTATTGTGTCTTACCCTGACATATATTCTCTTACTCACACTTAGGATTTTTTATTCAACCTTCTCAAATCTCTTCTAATAGTATTGCGCACTTTTCTCATATTTTTTGCCATATACGTCTCACCTCTTTTACTCTAATATCTCATCTCTTATGTTCTTTCTTTTTAATCTTTTCATTTTTATGTTATTGTTTTCTCTTCCAATTATGTTTTCATCGCACATTTCTTTTATAATATTGCATCTCTTATGTTCTTTCTTTTTCATCTTCTCTAATCTCTCATCTCCTATATTTTTTCTTTTTTATTATAATATTTTTGATATTATTTTATGCTACCTTTTTATGTTTTTTATTTCACTTGTCTAATCTTATTTTTGTATATTGAATGAGAAGTTTTTGTCTAAATATGATGAGTTTTATTGTTATTTGGTAATGTATGAATGACTAAACACAGTTATGTTGTTCTTTATAGGTGTATGTATCGATCAATAAAAATCTTGTAAAAAATCGAAACAGCCAAACCAATCCAAATCGCGTTGGTTTGGTATGGTTCGATTTTATTTTCAAAAGTCAATCGAATCAAACCGAATCACATACTTATTTATCTTACAGTTTGAATGATTTTTAATTTCAAAACCGTTCAAACTGCACTGCGAACATCCCTACATATCACCTACTAAAAATAGTAATTGTATTTTTGAATTCACTATTTATTTTTTCTATTTTGTTACATTTTTCTCACATTCGTCTCCCAATTTAATTTTTTTTTTTCTTTTTTTATAATATAGATTTTTATTTTTATGCTATTTTTTATTATTTTTAATTGAACCGAGTATCAAAGTTTACTATCCGGTGGCACTCTTCTATTGGTAGTGATAAACTAATCCAACCATCCACTTAACCCAAACCTTCAAATTACTCTATCCTCACTAGATAAGAAAAAAATCCACACATTATTCTTTCAAATTTCAATGGACAACAAAACATAACACAACAAACATATCCAAAAACAATGGCCACCATTTTCTCATCATCACCGCCCATTTTCTCCTCCTCCTCCACCACCACCACAACCACCACCATATCAAAACCACTCATCTCTTTCAAACACCAACACCCATTACTAACCACCACCTTAACAGCAGCCACAGCAGCAGCCATAGCCACCATTCTCACCACCTCACCCCCCTCTATAGCAGCAGAATCACCCTCACCTCCCTACAATCTCTACTACGGAACCGCCGCCAGTGCCGCAAACTACGGCGGCTACGGCGGCAACTCAAACAAGAAAGACTCGGCTGAATACATCTACGACGTTCCAGAAGGCTGGAAGGAGCGGTTGATCTCGAAAGTCGAAAAGGGTACAAATGGAACAGACAGTGAATTCTATAACCCAAAGAAGAAAACAGAGAAAGAGTATCTAACTTACCTTTCTGGGTTTCGTCAGTTAGCACCAAAAGATGCTGTTTTGAACAACTTGGCTCTTTCTGATGTGAATTTGCAGGATATCATTAGTACTGCTGATAATGTCAGTTCTGAGGAAGTGAGAGATGATAAGGGTCAAGTTTATTATGTTTATGAGATTGATGGTGTTGGTTTTCATAGTTTGATTTCTGTTACTTGTGCTAATAATAAGCTTTATGCTCATTTTGTCAATGCTCCTACTCCCGAGTGGAATAGAGATAAGGATGTTCTTACTCATGTTCACAAGTCTTTTAAGACTGTTGGGTAATTGTTATGTGTTTTTGATGTATAGATATTATGGTTGTTCAATAATGGATAATGTTCTATGATGATGAGGATGGTGTTTTGTGATTAATTTGAAATTGAAATTTTCTTTATCTAACAACTTCCTTGCATTTTGATATGATTCTGTAGTGGTTATGAGAGTTTGTTTCCATGATCCTTTTGGTCATTACCTATCAACAACGATTTTGGGTTTATCAGCCAAATCCTTCTTTTAAATTTGTGTTTCTTTTAGATAAACTTGATTTCAAATACATAATGTAATTTCATCCATGAAATTATGCTTACACACAATGTGCCATAATAAAGGTGAAATTTTCTTTAACAAAACTGAAATAAAATGAAAGTATTTAACAATGAAATGAAATATGGAAATATTATGTACAATATCTTCATCACTACATAGTTAAGACTTCAATAATAGGAATAGTAATTGCAATGAAATTTAAAAATGACATGAGTTGGAGAAAATAACAAAAAATAGAACTAATATCTTCCCCAAAAAAACTTGTATGCATTTTGAGAAATGCAACTTAACCGCTGGTTGGCTAAAAAGCACGTAAAAGAAAAACAACAGCAAATACACACAACTGTAACATTACATAAAGAATAAAATAATTATATTAACGGGAGCAATGAAGTAAATGAAGTCTGTCAAATGAAACACAATTTTTCCTTTTTCCTTTTTTTTTCTTATATTAAATCTTTCATCAATGACACTTACAAATCAAAGCAAAAACCAGAGAAACAGACTCTCCAGCAATAAACATCTTCCTCTTCTGTAGCTTCAGCCGAAGACCAAAAATAGATATTATTAAATGCAGTCTACCTAAATAGATATATTGGGTATCTAAACATTCAAATATCTTCCATGTACAGAAGAAATATTCAGAAATTAATCCAGGTGGTGTCTCCTTACATAAATATATTTTTTTTTTACGGATTTTTGTGCTATAAGACATGAAGACTCTGGTTTAGCATATCCGGTTATCACCATCATCATCCCAATATTTGAATTATGTCATACCCGAACCCAAGCCTTCTGGCTTAGATTGTGTTCTAATGTAGGTGAGACCCCGAGGAGCAGGCATGGTGGTAAAATTTCCGGTATTCGCTGATGAACCACTGTCGGCCGAATTAGTCTGAGCACCTCGCTTCCATTGCATGCTTCTTGCACCCAGTTTCATTGGGGGACGAGCTCTAAATGAACCAGGCATACCTCTTGCAAAGGGAGGTCTGGGAAACCTAGGAGTAGGAAATGAAGTTCCCCTAACAACTCGTGGCCATGTCGTGGTTGGAGCAGATTCTTGATGGGCAGCACTTTTCTTTACGACCTGCAATGAAACAGCAAGTGCAAATAATTTAGTTCATGGAAGGCTATTGTGATACCTGATATTTAATCCTTCCAGTATAGACTTAAAGGAAAACAAATGGAAGTTCATGCTAATTAAAAAATTTAGTTATCAGCAATTTTCTTAATCTAATCAGTTATTGTATTCTGCAATCTGCCCTTCATAGAAGCTAGTTCAATGAAAGAAAGACATTGTTGGCACGCATGGTCTTAGGAAAGAGATTGAAGGGCCACGTGAAAGTCATCTAGAAACAAAAGACTAGAAAGATATTTGATATATGGGGAAAAAGCAATGTATTTTAGGCTGAAGATTGCAACCTACTACACCTGCAGCTTGTCCATGGCAGAAGAAACCTCTGATTTGGAGTGATGTAGAGCAAGTCTCATCCATTGATCTATAGTACAATCCCATCAAAGGGTGTGGAGCAGAAGGTTCAACAATCAGAATAACAACAGAGCTTTATCCCACTAAGTGGAATCGACTGCATATCCAACTCATTAATCTCAAAATCTATCTCAACAATAGTTTCTCTAATAGATTTTCTAGGTCTTCCTCTACTTTTATCCCACTAATGGGTTGAATTATTTGAATACATTAGAAACTAATGTGAAAAAATATTTTTAAAAAATTTCTAATTTACATTAACTAATTTTCTATGATAATATTAATTTTTTAATTTTTTTCATTTCTTCATATAGGTTGTGAAAGTCACAAATGACATTTCATTTTTCTTCCTTCTTAAAGTTGAATATCTTATACTAGTTTCCATGAGAATGATATAAATGATATGAATTAATATGGTTGGTTCGGGTCATCGGGCTCGCGGGTGGAATTTGGAAATTCATTGCACGAACCAATTAAAACCGGGTTTCATTGGTTCGGTTCGGTTTTTGCCCCGACTAAAAAATTGTCCGACCCAAACATCATGGTTTGGTTTGGATTCCGGTTTGATTCGGATTTACCCGAACCAATGAACACCCCTAACTCCAACTCTCTCTTTCTCTAATGTTGTCATCTATAATCCTATCTCGTCTAGTTTTACCACAAACCCAACTAAACATCTTCATCTTTGTTACACTTACGTTGGTTCTTTATAGAAAGACATTTTGTTCCGTACATCACCGGTGTTACAGTTATCCGATAAAATTGTCCCTTCAATTTGAATGGTACTTTTGTATCACATAATCACACCCTCCTCCATTTCAACCACCCAACTTGAATTTAGTAGTTTAAACTTGTGGTACCACCCAACTTGAATTTAGTAGTTTAAACTTGTGGTAATAGAAAATTAGTTATCCCACTATGGACCAAGATATATAAAAATAAGGATAAAGCATGCAAAACTACGAAGGTGAAAAACCCTCCTTAACCAAAGGCCCCAACTCACAGTGGTTAGATGTTCTCTACTTAGATAGAGGTAATAGATAGGGTATAACCTGAGTACACAAGTACCTGTTTCCATACCCGTGTTTAAAAAATAAAATAAAAACTACATGTCTCCTCAATACTCGCATGTATAAAAACTTCAATAGGGATTGCAAACCCCGGTGGATTATTTGCAATGGGACAATAGGAACTTGCTACAAACACTCTTCAACTTAGACTCATTCGGAAAAAAAATTCAAAGATTAACCAATTCTTAAATGTCAAAGAACATAAATTAACATAATTCAAATATCATAAAAAAATATCTAAAACTTTTACACACAAAACATAAAATAGTGTCGACATAGGTGGATTGGGTACTACAGTACCCATTTCTATAACCCCGGCTATTTAGATTGGTACAAAATCTTAATTGCGGACAATGTTTTCGATGCCTGTCAAGTCTGAGTGGCATCCCTTTTCCTACTATAAAAGGGTAACATCTTAGTACCCTACCTTCTAACTACTTAAACCTACTATTCCGAGTGACTACAAAGACTGGGCACCTCAATAAAATGGCAACCATAGAACTTGACAATCTCTAAAATGAAAAAGATACTTAATAGTGAGAAAATTGGAGGGAAGAAGTATAACCTCTAGATAACTAAGTGTGTCTGTTTCTCAGGTGGATCATGTTCCAAAATTGTTTTACAATTTACAACAAAAGTAACACATAATGCATATGTGAAAACACGTTTATTCCCGTAGGGACATTAATTCAAACATGTGCCAAAGTAGCAAGCTGAGACCAATACCTTGAGAAGTCGTGACATGAAAGAAGTGCCATCTAGAGATAGTGCACTATCTGCTGCTTCTTTTAGCATGAATTCAACCAAAGCCGCCCTGCTCAAGTAAACACAAATTAAAATACAGCTGCAAACAAAATGTGCTGAATATATGATGAGCAATGCAAACTATCAAAACATCTTACCCTTTTGGCTGCCCAGTTGCAGCATCAGTAACTATGATCACTTTTGACACTTCCCCAAACTTGTTAAAATGCCGAGACAGGCCATCTTTAGTAGCAGCAAAATGAACCTACAACAACCAATATAATAAAACTTCAGAAATCAAACAAATCCAACCCAAAACCAACCTTTGAGGCCTCCCCTCACCCACCCAGAATAGAGGAGCAAGAGTTATTACATTGCTAACAAAAATGGTTCTGGAATCCACATCTTCTGAAGGACGACCAGCAACACTAGAACCTGAGAATGCACAATATACAATCAGTTGTACATCTGATAAATGCATGAAGTTTTCAAGTGGTAAATAACAATACAAGATTAAAGATATATACATTGTATAACAAAATGTTTTAACTATACAAAATACCCTTCATCATTAAAAAAATCATTTCACCCACCAAAAATACTATTTGTGTGTAGCAAAGGTAACAAGAGTTTCCATTACTGAAGATTTAAAACTCACCAGTAGTACAGTGTGCCTTGCTAGACTCTTTCTGAACATCAGGAGCAATGTTTACCTATCATATGTCATAATATCAACTGAAAACAATCAATAACTATACAACCACACATGTCATACTTTTAAACAGAAAACCAAGTATCTTAGAAAGTAAGCATAAATGAGCTTCTCACATTTCCATTACTAATTTTCATAGCTTGTGTATTCTCCTTCACCAGTTGCACGTTAGATCTGGGATTTCCAGTTCCATTGTTTAAAGTTTTATGACCATTAAATTCTGCAACCACTCTTGGTTCCTGATACTGCTCCGGCTTCCAAGTATTTACATTAACAGAAATATTCACTACTTTACGGGAAGTGTTGCGTGCAGCAGCAGATTGGTCCTGTTCTCGATTCTGATTTAGACGCAAACTATCACCAGCATATTTTGCTACACTATGCTCCATGAGTGAATCACTGCCCCTATTTCCAACAGAGGAACTGACCTGAGAAGGTCCTGTCACCCCATGGCCTATGACATTTAAATTATGACGCCCTTCATTATCTGAATTAGAATCAGAAGGAAAACCAGTTTCATGTTCAATCATAGTGGTATCTGAAGCAAATTGCCGATCGTAATCAGGTCTCTGAAGATACATTGATTGATTTTTCTCCTGCTGTTGATAATCAAGTTGGCTGTTATCGGCTGATGAATCCATACCACAACCAAGTCTATCAAATACACTTCCTGAGGATTTGGACTTCACATCCTCTGCAGCTTCTGCCACAGCCTTAATCACTGTAGCCATTGCATTTGGCACCCGGGCAGTGGACTGCACACGCTGATGATGTTCAACCAGAGCTGAATCACCGGAGGATGTAGAAACTACAGATCGAAGACGTTTCAAGGAAGGCTCCACTGATGTGCCAAGATTGGTTGTCCTTGAAGTACCCACTGCATCTCGAACTGCAAACTGAAGCAACCGTCGAGATGCTGCAACATTTAGTTGTGAGGCAACATTTAGTTGTGAGGCAACATCCCGCTGTTGAAATTACCCAATTAGAATCCATAAGTACTTCATTATTTTATCGGAGAAAAAAAACATATAAAATGAAGAGGAACACTGGAAGAAAAAAACTTCAGTGATTTTATTTGAATAAGAATAGCATCTTTTTTCTCTCAGTTTATAGTCATTGAAAGAGACACTAGAATCCATCTATGTGAGCACAATCTAATCACTTGGGAAAGTACAAGAGCAGTGACGTGGACAATAAGTGATATAATAGTTAAGTCAACTATAAACTTCACCCTTCGATTGCATAAGGTCTCTCACTTATACAAACTAGGATAAGCTCTATTGAAACCCTATTTAATGAACTTTAAGTTGAATAAAGTATGTGTATATAATATTGCAGCAGTAGCTCAAACCTTTGTCCTATGTTTTTCATCAGTTCGGCCCCTTTTCCTCTGAACTGTGGGTTCAGGTTGTGGAGATGGTGACCTTGGACCATGATCAACTTTTGGTCGAACTTTTTCCTCTAAATGAGCCAGGTCAACCTTTGAGCTGCTGATAGTAGGTGCCCTTGCTTCAGCTTCTCCCCTCACCAAACCTTTCCAATCTTTGTTATGCCGAGTTCTAGAAGACTTATTAGAATTTCCTCTTTCTAACTTTGAATTCGAATCACTCCTAGTTTCAATTTCCGATGTAAGCTTCCTTTTGGGAGCTTCATCCTGCAATTTTTTCGGTTTTACATACAAAGCTAAATTCAAATGTAGATGATCCCACAACCTGTTAACCAGATATGAATCTGAATCAGCACATAGAATTTTAGTGTAAAGACCGCATTTCTTACAAAAAAATTAATCTAAAAAAAGTGAAATTACCAACAAACGAATGCATCACTTTTATCTGCCAAAAAAACATCCAACTCAGTCTTTGCTTGTTCTTTGCTCTTACCATTCCTCAATAACACAATAACATATTCCTGTTACATCATATAAGATATAATTCAGTTAACCTGTATACTTAATAGTCAAAATCAATTCATCACGAGAAACTTTCAGTACATCTTATAGTAACTAGCATTGCCTATGATACATAGTTCGTGTTATGTAACCAGCATGTACAATAACAACCACCATAACAGCAATAATAACTCCCATACATATTAAACAAGCTTCAAATCTTTTGGATACTTGTGAAGATTAATATTTAGCTCAGGTTTTTAGATTATAATTTAACTTTTTTTGTTGTTTGTTGTACAAATATCGAATAGTTGTCAACTCTAATAAATTAACAAACTTAGCATCAACCATTAGACTTAGAACATTTTGTTTTAACACTGTATTTTAATGTCCTAAATTTTGAAAGGAAGATAACAAAATAATAAAACAAAAATGCATCACTTTTTATTCTTTTTGTAAAACAACATCACAGTAAGTAACAAGGAATTTTCAATTTCAACCTAACTCTTTCCATCATACAACTCCTCATACCACAAATCTCTAGGAACCACAACCCAAAACTAAGCAATCAACACTAATCATATACATCTATAGGACTTAATCCACATTTCACACTTCAAAATACACAATCTCATTACATAAACCCTAACAATGCAAATAACAACAGATACGAATACAGAAATTTTCTACATTACTCCGCTACTGCGAGAATGACGATTAATCACTCATATCACATTACAACAATCTACCAACACTGTATTCAATCCAAAAACGTACCACAAAAGTATCATCCGAGTATTCACCCATGAATTCCTTAAGCTTCTCCTTCACAATATCTCCCAACTTCTTCGCCCCATCGGTACTAAAATTAGCCTCGAAAATCCGATTATCGTCTCTATCAACACTCCCCATAGTCAATCGAAGAAGAAAATAACCACCAACAACAACGAAACCCTAACAAAAAATCCCTATCTGGCAATCCAAACCGAAACCCTAACTCTCTCGAGATTATCAAAAAAATAAAGCGATGTAGATTATAAATCACTAATTAGCGAAAGATAAAGAAGAGATCGAATTTCGAATCGAGTTTTTTTTTTCTTTATAAGGAAAATGATGGAAAATATTTGGAGAATTGCAAAAAAGAAACCCCGAGTTACGTACTCGCGAGGAGAGAGTGATGAAAAACTATGCAAGGTTTCATTATATAGAGAGTGACGAATGTGATCTATTTAGCAGAAAAATAGGAATCTCTTGAGTCGGTTAATGACACGTATCACCGAGAAATCACCCTAATAACCATGATTTCCCCCTAATTTCCATTATACCCAACTTTTTATTATATTTATCAATCTAACCAACTTTAAGTTTTTTTTTTAAACTACAAAGGGGCGTCATTCGCCTTGACTCCTCCCTTATAAATTATAGGGGGCGCAATTCAGGTTGGAGGCACCCTATAATTTAATTTATAAAGGAGGCGTCATCCCCTTTGCCTACTCCCTTAAATTCGAATTTTGAAAATAATTTTAAATATATATTAAGTTTAAAAATATTTAATAAATAATATTTAATAATTAAAAATATTTAAAAAATAATAATTTTATAAATAATAATTTCTGAATAATTTTTATATATTTAACAATTAATAAATAATTAATAATTAATAATTTCATTAATAAATTTCAAAAATTATAAATAAAAATTATTCACAAATAATAATCTCAGTTGTATCCAGAAATATTCAAAATTAGAAAAATAAGAATTTATATTATGCTATTAATAGGGTTATTTTTATGTCCGGATACAAGTGGTAACGTTGTTCACTCTATGTACTTAGCTTTATTAGATGATATAAATAAAATAAAAACATATAGTTGGGGGTCCGCTACACTAGCGCACCTATATCGGTTTTTGTGTAACAATGCAATAGCAAATTCGAGAAATTGAACCAGATGTGGTGTTCTTCTTCAAGCTTGGGGTTGGTCAAGAATGACCAATCTAGCATATATCCAACAAAATAATTTTGAATTCCCATTCGCTAAAAGGTAATTATTTTTCTCAATTATCACTTCTCTTTCATAGTCTTTTACTTAATTAATCCCATTATTAATAAATGTTTTCTTTTCGATTTGTAGGTGGTCTTCGCTTGGAATGAATTACGACAACTGTCTCCATTTCAGTATAGTACAGAAATCTTATAGATCATTTGGATCAAGATGATGTACACTCACTAACCTACTTATTTAGAATATACTCTCCTTGAATATTATTAGAAAATACTAACTATTATTTTTGAAGGCATGGGCAACCCTTTTGATTTGGATGACTTTACGGATATGGACACGTCTACATGGGTCGAAGTCATGCAATTGCTTGATGACGAAACAGTGGACCCGACTCCACAACAAAGACCACCAAGAAACGTACGGAATCGAGGATGCGGTACGGGCGAACATTTAAACCGACCTAGTCGTAGAAATTAGTGTACCATATCTCTCATATGTACTCATTTGTAATTAAATGAAAATTGTAATTATTATTTAATATTAAATTTATTAAATACAATTTAATTTTTATTTATTATTTGGAATTTATTAATGAAATTATTAATCATTAATTATTTATGAATTGTTAAATATATAAAAATTATTCAGAAATTATTATTTATAAAATTATTATTTTTTAAATATTTTTAATTATTAAATATTATTTATTAAATATTTTTAAACTTAATATATATTTAAAATTATTTTCAAAATTCGGATTTAAGGGAGGAGTCAAAGGGGATGGCGCCCCCTTTATAAATTATAGGGTGCCTCCAACTTGGATGGCGCCCCCCTATAATTTATAAGAGAGGAGCCAACACCAATGGCGCCCCCTTGTTATTTTAAAAAAAAAAACGTGAAAGTTGGTTAGTTTGCGATATATGTTGAAATGTTGGGTAGTTTGGGATATATGGTGTGAAAACATGGTTATTTGGGTGAAAAATTCACAAAGCGAAGTGCTTGTTGATTGTTGTGGTGGAAATATAAGATGCACATGGTTTTGTAGTGGTAGTTTTTTTTTAAGAGAGACGCGGTATATTTTGTAGTTTTTTTTTAATTTATTGAATACCTAAATCGGAAACCAAATTATAAACATATTAAACCAAAATATAAACATATTCAAAAGAGGAATGAACTCTGACCAAATTCTAAAACCTATTATGTTATCAACACCCACTAAATGATTAGCTTTAACAATCGAATATATGCCTATAAATATGACAGACGCTTCTTTGAATTCCTTTAACAATATAACACAGTCTAGTGTTATTAGCTCTACCTCTACGATACCACTAACATTGCATCAAAGTGAACTTTGATTCTCCCCAACTTCAAGTCTAAAGCCAGCTGAATCCCCCATTTGATCGCTAGAGCTTCTGCCACGAGAGATCCTGCAGAGCTCGTTATTCTCTTGTTGGCAGCCTGGACCATTTTCCTATCATGATCTCTTATGAAGCATGTCATTGCCACAAAGCCACTTGGAAAACAGCCTACGTACACCTGGATAGTGTGGAAACCAGTTTCACAGAAGAAGAGTTCACATGTACCAACTAGTTTCTTCTTATATTGCAATTTCGGGTTAGCTCTATTGAATTTCAAAATGTGATCCACCGCACTGCAAGCAACCACATCAAGGACAGAAAAATCATTTTTGAAGACCCTAAGGTTTATAGCGTCCCAAATTTACCCAGAGAATGGTGTAGAGTAATTGAACTGTGTAGGCCTCTTACATATCCAAATCATTTTTCAGCCATTGGATAAGTTTCGAATTATCCCGTGTTCGATGGCCAAGTGTTAGCTCCTAAATTCGACGCCTCTTACAAAATAAAGGAATTTAAGGGGGAAAAAATACCAAAAACAAGTTGAAAGCAAAGGTTGATCGAAAGGTGTGAGGCAGCTGTCGAAGAACTCACTAAGATTGAAGGGAAACCACAAGGGCTTCGACCATTTTTGATGTTTGATGATTTGTTGAAGATTTAAAATTTGAAAGTTTGGAGGGAACGGTTTCATTTTCCAAATGCCTAAGAGGACACATGGCACCTTATGAGCAGTAGATCCATGCATTGTGACAAGTGGCGAAAGGTGGTGATGTTGGAGGTTATTAGAAGTTATTTTTTACTATTATAAATAGGATGTCTTAGACATGAAATAAGGTGTGTTGTAATTTACCATTGTACAAATTACTCTTAGAATTACTCCAAGTATCCGAGCGTAGAGAAAGTGAGTATTACAGAGAATGACGTGATGTAAACACACCATCTTTTATCTTAATAAAATTTGCTTTATTTGCTTTAAACTTTACAAAGTCTTTTATTTTTCTTTGCACATTTCTTCCTTATTTTCTTTCTTTCTTCTCTTTCTATGCAATTCCTTTCTCTTCGTCCTTAATCTAATCTTTCCTCTCCAAACAAACTTTGTTCTCTTCTTTATTAAAAGCTTTATCTTTTAACTTGTCCCGTAGTCGAATAGATGTTTCTTTAGATGCTTTTACCCCGATATTGCCTAAGTGTGAAACTTAAATAGATTTCCAAAATAAATAACTTTTAGCACATGTCCTAGGATCAACCTGATCGATCCTGTGAGTCACCAAAGTTAGATTTGGAAGATCAGTGGTTGTTTTCCAATTTTCAAGAGAAACAAAATGGCACGCCCAGTGGGACAGTGCTAGAAAATCTTTTTGTGCAAAACTAAATTTATAGAAAGTTGCAGTCGTGTTGGTCCCTTTGTGGGAAGTGCATTTTATGTTACTGAGAAGTGGTAGAGTTACCGCTGTAAACGAAGAAAGACGACCAAGACGAAACATTAGGAACATGGCTACAGATACGAACCAGCCAGATAACCCTAACCGTCAAGGAGACGGTTCCAGTGAAGGAATAAGAGACGATGGAGTTCCCCTTCTGATACCGTCGACCGGAGAACAAACGGTGTTTCCTGTGAGGCCAGTACCGACACCCTCCGTACTTGGGACTGGATTGACGGTGATAAGACCTTATAGTCAACCAGTGTTGGAATATATTGGCCTTTCAACGCCAAATCCTCAGATATTGTTAGGGGGAAGTTCGACTTCCGGACAGTTTATTCCCTTTGGGTTTTCACAGTCACCAAGAAATCCCCCATATGGGATGCCCACCACTGTAATGCAAGGGCTCCAAAGTGCGCCCCCCATATTCTCAGATCATGCAATGGCTTCGCCATTACAAGGGTCAGGGTCTGGTGTGAACATGGGTCGAAATCCCCAAAGCCAGAGCTTAGGGTATTCGACGCAAGGCCCCAATTTGACCAACACCTCAGTTGTCTGTTTGAGACAGCAGATGGACGAAAGTAATTTACAAATGGTTCAGACCTTGTCATAAACCATGGGTGAAATCTTTCAACCATTAACCCAAAATACAACCCAGACCAATCAACAATTGGCGGTACAACTGACAAGATTGGCTGAATTCATGGGGGTACCCCCCTTAGCCAGAAATCAGGCTCCAATAGCGGACATCCCACGAGAAAACCTGGGAAATACGGCAGAAACCGATATAGGAAACCAAGGGAGGATGGCCCCTTCTGCAGTCGAAGTGCTTAGGGAAGAACCATTGCGAAATCAGACCCGTGTTCTGGGAGAAAGAGACCCAGAAGTGGTTATCGTGAATCAAAACCAGGACGCGGACAATATAGTCCAACAGGTTCGACGAAATAACATGGCCGTTGATAATAATCTAGCGGCCATGGTCGAGAGAATTATGGCCAGAAATGGTTTGAACACTGGGTTCACCAGGCCAAATTACACTCACCTATAGTAGATTATATCCTTCAGGCAGAGTTACCCCCTAGGACGAAAGTGCCCAAGTTTACTAAGTTTTCAGGAGATACGACGGAGTC